AGGGAGGTCACCCAGAGCCTGTTGCCCCAGACAGGTGGGGTAGGAGGGCTAGCTTCAAGAGCTGGAGGAAGATGGCAGAGTAAGAGTTGGTATGAACCAGTGCCTGCTTAGCCAGACTTCCTAAGCTCCCCACTGGGCCCAGGCTGGGCACCTTCCCCACACCAGGAGGATCCCAGCTGAGGTCCCCTCCCTGCACCAAGCGCTCTCCTCCCTGTTCTACCACTGGGGGAAGGGAGCAGCTCACCTGCTCTGGACCCTGCCAACCTGGCAGGCTGAGGCACAGGCAGTGCAGCCTAGGGTGCTGGTGGCTGCGAGCCTTCTCCCCCTCTCTGAAGTGTGGGGAAGGGTTGCAGCAGCTCACAGCTGCCCCTAGGCACCATGCATGGAGACACTGCTCTCCACTGAGTCACCGTCCGCCCGGGACCTATGGGGGTTGGGGTGGCCTTGGGCTCCCACTGGCCCCCACTGAAGCCAGATTTGGCTTGGCCAGCCACCCCCGCCACTTGATTGCTGCGCATGCCCCACGGGCCTCATCGCCCTCATGAATCGCCGTGGTCCAGCTGTCCCATCCCAGGAAGTGGTCACCCCGATCTCCATGGCTCACTCCCTGGTGCAGTTGGGCCTGCCCAGCAAGCATGTAGGCAGGAGCTGGGCCTCTGAGGGGAAGGAGGAGGGATGCGCAGACCAGGGCAGAAGTGGGGAACTTGGTGGTGTCAACACAGCTCCCCCGACATTGTGCCAGCCCCTCGCACTGCATTCCCGAACCCTTGGGTGCCCCTGCCCAGCACTGTGCTCTTGGGCCTGGGGTGGGGGTGAGGGACCTGTAGCTGCAGCCTGAAGGCAGCCCTCGCTGGCTTGGAATCGCAGTGATTCAACTCAAAATGGATTAAACATTGAAAAGTAAGACCCGAAACGGTAACACCTAGGAGAAAGTGTCGTGACATTGATCTTAGCAATTATTTCATGGACACCGAAGCACAGGAAACAAAAGTAAAAATAGACAGTAGGACTGCATTAAATCACAAAGCTTTGGTCTTGCAAAGGAAACCACCCCTGGGTCGCACACAGGACTGGGCCCCATGTCTTCGGCGGGTGGGTGGGAGCTCAGGAGAGGGGATTGGCATTGCTTGCCTGAGCCTGAGCCTTCACCTGAGCCCCCCGCTCGCCCCCGGGTCCCACATGGGGGCCTGGATGGTGGCTCATGCTGTCCCGCCCTCCCTGTAGTATGCACATTAGCCGCCATCTTTGTTGGCGGTTAATTTGCATATCGCTCTGATCAGCCCATGGGAGGTGTAGCGAATGTATGGTCAATTACCATGTTTGTCTATTATTAGATAGGATATGATCTATATTAATTAAAATCAGTCATAGGAAGATAGTTCAGAGTTGATTCTCAATTCATTATGTACTGAACATGACATGTAAGGTGCCTCTACTGAAAAGTACCTTTTTATCATGTTGATTATTTATGAACCCAGATCTCTGGCATGGTCACTTAAACCAGGATGGACACCTAATATAAAGTAGTTATCTCAGTAGGATAGCCACAACTAGTGAGAACCTGTCCATCAGAGCCATGCTATCATAAATGTTGGCTGGCTAACCCCATCAGATAATCTCTCTTAACGATTTGAATGTAAGATATTTGGAGAAAACTCTAACAGGAGGGTGGGAAGAAGCCAATAGACAGAGAATTCAGTCACCAGAAATCCTAAGGCAGAAGGAATTCTGAAAAAGCAGAAACCAAGGAATAAAAGAGATAGGTCTAATGGTAGATGTAACTATTTCCTTCTCCAGACATATCTGGCATCACTTTGCTCTCTGAGTCCAGCTCCCTAGTCTTCTTTCAGTCCCTTGTGCATACCACAAGAGAAGCTCTCTTCACAATGCTCACCACAAATGTAGTTTTGCAAATGTATTATGGATTTTATTAATGAAATTTCCCCACTCTGACCATTTTTATATCTCTATCACTTTGCACAGTGCCTGTTACATTATAGAAACTCAATAAATAAGTTGTTGAATGATTTAATTAAAGGTTTATTTAGTCTGTAGTAGAAAAGACATAAAGACAGCATAATTGGTACTATATAATGTTAATGGATATCTATGTTTGAAGGGACATTTTAAAAAATTCAGACAAAAATTACACTTTTTCAGAAGGCTTGATGAGAATTTCCCATTTGTACTTTACTGTGCTTTCCTACTATAAACTTTGTAGTAGACATTACTGTCTACCCACTAAGAATCTATTCCTGCTTCCCCTGCCCTGCAACTTCCTGAACAGAACCCTGACTGTTCAGTTGTTGACTTCTCTTCCATGCACTTCTGGGTCAGGATACACTGTATCCCATGGCCAGTCCCAGGGATATATCAGGTGTAGAAAAGCATCCCTATTCTTAAGAGCAGTGGAAGAGATGCTTTCTCCTTCCTGGACATTCCTAAGCTTATGGTGATTTGAGGGAGTATTGAAGCCACATTGCTATCAGTGTGAGAATGAGGAAAAATTAAGGATGACACAGTGGAGCCATGGCCTGTGTTGCTCAGTGGTTAGAGTGTCAGCCCATGCATTGAAGGGTTGAGGATTTGATTCAGGGTCAAGGGCACATATCTGGGTTGCAAGTACAATCCCACCTGGTCCAGGCACATGCAGGAGGCAATCAGTTGATGTGTCTTTCTCGCAGAGATGTTTCTCTCTGTGTCTCTCTCCCTTCCTCCCTCCACTCTCTCTAAAAATCAATGGAAAAAATATCCTCAGGTGAGAATTAAAATAAATAAATAAATAAATAAATAAATAAATAAATAAATATCAGAGTGAAAATGGGGAATAAATCCAGGAGCACGTGAATCAATCAACCTTGGAGACTAGTATAATTCAGAACTTACTATTTTATGATAAATACACATATACATGCATACACACATGCATACAAAGCCATTTGAGATAGGGTATGTATTATCTGCAGCTGAAAAGATTTCTGAAAAATACACAGTGCAATATACAGATGATCCTATATAATAAAAGCATAGTATGCAAATTGTCCCCTTGACCAGAAGTTGTCCAGGGGCCTGGGCCGGCCGGGGGAAGGGAGCGAGTACCAAGCCAGCAGCCAGCAGCCACTAGGGACCCTACCAGTGCACGAATTTCATGCACTGGGCCTCTAGTGTCTTATAAAACTGTATACCTGAAATATATAATTTTATTAACCAATATCATCCTAATTAATTCAATTAAACCAGAAAAAATAAATAATTATTTATTAAAAACACTCTTGTTACCTGATGGACCTTCATTTCTTTGCTATTTGAAGAAAGAAAATGCCTTACTAATACACACACAGAGAATGTAATATCTGCTAAAGTTTCTGTAAACCTAAACTGTGGTAAAATATAGTCTATTACAGTTTATTTAAAACATGCAGACATTAAACATTTCCATATTTCTATATGTTCTAGAATAGCTTCCCTTCCTTGTCTGCCTGATAAAATTCTATGTATTAAAAGCTTACTGCTCAAAAAAAAGCATTTCCTCAAAAGATATTGTTTATCAAGTATCTGGCATGCAGGTAATAGGCTCATCAAAGACAATATGAATGTGAATGATTTTTCACATTTTAAAGACCTATTTTCAGGGTAATTAGCAATTGAAAGCTATCTACACTAATAAAAGACAAATATGCTAATTGACCATACCTTCACTACACCCCAAGCCATGCCCACCAGGCAATCAGAGCAACTATATGTAAATTAACTCAACCAAGATGGCGGCCGGCAGCCACAGAGCTGGAGCAAGCAGGCGGTTTGGTTGCCCTGGTGATGGAGGAAGCCAAGCTTTCCACCTGACCTGGCTGGCTCTGGGCTATGCTCAAAGCTACAAAGTTTCAATAATAGAAGATAAATAAATCCCAGGAAAAAAAAGAAAAAAAGGAAAGGCTGGGAGCTTGGATTGCTGGGGGGTGTTGCAGGCCTGAAAATGGCCATCAGCCCCTCACCCAGGCTGGCCAGGCAAACCAGCGGGACTCCCCCACCCTGCAGAGGCTGTGGGCAGCCTGAAAAAGGCCCTCAGCCCCTCACCCAGGCTGGCCACACCCCTGTGGGGTTATGGTCCCCACTCGGGGGCTTGGTCAGCCTGCAAACAGCCATCAGCTCCTCACCCAGGCTGGCCAGGTACCCCTGTGGGGACCACCAATTTG